GCTATTACCAGTATCTTACTGATGTTATCAGTAATGCAGTAAATATTAATACCATTCCATTGTCGGTTTTGATCATATCATAATTATAATTATTGGTGCTGTTTTCATTATTGTTATTACTATTATTATTATCATTATTGTTATTATTATTATGACTGTTATTATTATTGTTGAAGTTGCTGTTATTATTATTTATTCTTGTTTTTCATACTTAGTTTCAATCTGACTTTATATTTTAAATTATGATTACTACTCTCCTTGCCATCATCATCATCATCATTATTACTGTTATTGTTATGATTATTATTGTTGTTTTTGTTTATGTTGTTGTTATTATTATATTGTTGTCATTTTCATTGTCGTTAATACTATCGTCATCAACATTTTCATTATTATTATTATTATCATTATTATTATTAGTAGTAGTAGTAGTAGATTATTATTATTATTATTATTATTATTATTATTATTATTATTATTATTATTATTATTATTATTATTATTATCATTATTATTATTATTATTATTATCATTCTTCTTATTATCATTGCTATTATTACTGTTATTATTAATGTTATTACTATTATTATTATCATTATTATTATTATTATATTATTATTATTATTATTATCATTATTGTTATTACTATTATTATTATCATTATTATTATTATTATCATTATTATTATTATTATTATCATTATTATTATTATTATTATTATATTATTATTATTATATTATTATTATTATATTATTATTATTATCATTATTGTTATTACTATTATTATTATCATTATTATTATTATTATATTATTATTATTATTATCATTATTATTATTATTTATTCTTGTTTTTCATACTTAGTTTCAATCTGACTTTATATTTTAAATTATGATTACTACTCTCCTTGCCATCATCATCATCATCATCATCATCATCATCATCATCATCATCATCATCATCATCATCATCATCATCATCATCATCATCATCATCATCATCATCATCATCATCATCATCATCATCATCATCATCATCATTATTACTGTTATTGTTATGATTATTATTGTTGTTTTTGTTTATGTTGTTGTTATTATTATATTGTTGTCATTTTCATTGTCGTTAATACTATCGTCATCAACATTTTCATTATTATTATTATTAGTAGTAGTAGTAGTAGTAGTAGTAGTAGTAGTAGATTATTATTATTATTAGTAGTAGTAGTAGTAGTAGTAGTAGTAGTAGTAGTAGTAGTAGTAGTAGTAGTAGTAGTAGTAGTAGTAGTAGTAGTAGTAGTAGTAGTAGTAGTAGTAGTAGTATTATTAGTAGTAGTAGTAGTAGTAGTAGTAGTAGTAGTAGTAGTAGTAGTAGTAGTAGTAGTAGTAGTAGTAGTAGTAGTAGTAGTAGTAGTAGTAGTAGTAGATTATTATCATTATTATTATTATTATCATTATTGTTATTATTATTATGACTGTTATTATTATTTATTCTTGTTTTTCATACTTAGTTTCAATCTGACTTTATATTTTAAATTATGATTACTACTCTCCTTGCCATCATCATCATCATCATCATCATCATCATCATCATCATCATCATCATCATCATCATCATCATCATCATCATCATCATCATCATTATTACTGTTATTGTTATGATTATTATTGTTGTTTTTGTTTATGTTGTTGTTATTATTATATTGTTGTCATTTTCATTGTCGTTAATACTATCGTCATCAACATTTTCATTATTATTATTAGTAGTAGTAGTAGTAGTAGTAGTAGTAGTAGTAGTAGTAGTAGTAGTAGTAGTAGTAGTAGTAGTAGTAGTAGTAGTAGTAGTAGTAGTAGTAGTAGTAGTAGTAGTAGTAGTAGTAGTAGTAGTAGTAGTAGTAGTAGATTATTATTATTATTTATTCTTGTTTTTCATACTTAGTTTCAATCTGACTTTATATTTTAAATTATGATTACTACTCTCCTTGCCATCATCATCATCATCATCATCATCATCATCATCATCATCATCATCATCATCATCATCATCATCATCATCATCATCATCATCATCATCATCATCATCATCATCATCATCATCATCATCATCATCATCATCATCATCATCATCATCATCATCATCATCATCATCATTATTACTGTTATTGTTATGATTATTATTGTTGTTTTTGTTTATGTTGTTGTTATTATTATATTGTTGTCATTTTCATTGTCGTTAATACTATCGTCATCAACATTTTCATTATTATTATTAGTAGTAGTAGTAGTAGTAGTAGTAGTAGTAGTAGTAGTAGTAGTAGTAGTAGTAGTAGTAGTAGTAGTAGTAGTAGTAGTAGTAGTAGTAGTAGTAGTAGTAGTAGTAGTAGTAGTAGTAGCGAAATCTGCCGGTTAATCCGACGGAAAGTCCCAAGCGAGAGTTGCAGCTCAAGATGCATAGTTGCAATTGCAACTCTAAGTCGTCAGCGTGTACAAAGAACCTCGTCCGTGCCGGAAACAAGAGCCTCTCTCGCATAACGTCCATCGCCAATCCGAGCGGGTGTCGAGATTAGGTTCAACTGAGATCACAGGGACGAGACGACGCGGCCGGGGGGAAACGGGCCGCGGAAATTTCGGCTGATTATTTCATCAAGCGATGCGGCCGCTGTTCATCACGCTCGAGGAAAGGGCTGCGCTCGCCTTCAGATTATCAGACCCCCGAAATTAAGCGAAAGTAGCAGCGCGCGCTCGCCTCGCATCGATATTTAACACATTTTTTTTCTAACCTTTGTCCGACCTGAGATTTGATTGATGGAGGGGGATGTTTGTTTTGCATTGCCCCGAGTAAAAATAAAACGCGTTCCGAGAAGAAATCGGCCGAAATAGAGAGAACCGACATGTTTACAAGGCGGGATCGAAAACTTGACGAAGTGTGTCCGAATTTCGAGCACCGGCGAGACAGTTATGAGCCATCGGGTGTTCGAGAGTGGATTAGCCTGGCTTGGGTTCCACGGGGCCTGTTTACAATGGCGCTGCGCTGCCCACCCGGGACACCGGCTTCCGGGTCAAGCTCTGCGCCGATCCTCTTACTCTAATAAAAACCCGCGGCGATGCTTCTCGGCCCAAAGGCTCAGCCCTGCCCCGTGCGTGACTCTGGTTGTACTCGCATGCTGGGCATACTGTGTGTGTGTGTGTGTGTGTGTGTGTGTGTGTGTGTGTGTGTGTGTGTGTGTGTGTGTGTGTGTGTGTGTGTGTGTGTGTGTGTGTGTGTGTGTGTGTGTGTGTGTGTGTGTGTGTTTGCGTGACTGAGAGAGAGAGAGAGAGAGAGAGAGAGAGAGAGAGAGAGAGAGAGAGAGAGAGAGAGAGAGACAGAGACAGAGACAGAGAGAGTAGGAGAAGTAAGTGAGTGAATAAGTATGTGTGTGTGTGAACGCGTTTGTTTAGTGAACCAACATCATTATTAACATCCACACGAAGTCAAAGAGAAAAATCCAATCTTATCGCCGACTAATGGAATCACATAGCAGTCTCTAAGAACATGATCCCATTAGCACCCAAAAACAAAACACTGCATTCGCCCTTTTGAATAAACAAAGTTTCAAAAAAACACACGGGGGGAAAAAAAAGGCTTCGCCCTCTCCTGGCGTCACTCACTCACCCTTTTTTTTCCGTGAGTGTTTCTTTTTCCCAGCCGTCCCTCGTCATATCTGTCTCTCCCCTTGTTTTTCTACTCTACTGTCATATATACGTCCCAAAATTTATCATTTTCCTTTTGACCATTATTTATGAACGCGCATTTTTTTTTTATCTTTATTTTTCTTATCATTTATTAATCTATTTTTGCACTCGATTCTAGGTACGGTATATTTTTCTCTATCTCTATCTTTATCCTTATCTCAATCTCTATCTTTGTGTCTATCTCTATCTCTTTTTCTCTGTCTCTGTCCGTGACTCTGTCCCTGTCCCTGTCCCTGTCCCTGTCTCTCTGACTGTCTGTCTGTCTCTCTTTCTCTCTTTCTCTCTTTCTCTCTTTCTCTCTTTCTCTCTCTCTCTCTCTCTCTCTCTCTCTCTCTCTCTCTCTCTCTCTCTCTCTCTGTACACACACACACACACACACACACACACACACACACACACACACACACACACACACACACACACACACACACACACACACACATAGCCACACACACACACACATAGCCACACACACACACATAGCCACACACACACACACATAGCCACACATACACACACACATAGCCACACATACACATACACACATAGCCACACACACACACACACACACACACACACACACACACACACACACACACACACACACACACACACACACACACACACACACACACACACACGCCAGAGGATACCGTGGCAGAGTCGGTGGTGTCATCCCTCCAACGTGGCACTCGTGAGGTGCCAACACGAGGAGGCAACAGCACGTCTCGTGTTACTCCCGCCGGAAGCCCAGTGCCGGGGGTCAGAGCGGGTGCCACTGCAGGGAGGGAGCGAGGTAGAGGGTGGGGGCGGGGTGGGTTAAAAGGGGGTGGGAGCCGAAGGGGGCGCTGGGTGCCACGCCGCTGTTGACACGCCAGTCGGGTGCCGGGTGTCAAGTCACTCACGACACATTGTATGGATTCGATGTCGCCTGTAGGATGCCGTGCCACGAGGCCGTTTCTTTGCAGCGCACTGCTGTCACTGCGTTGTAAACACATATGTTAAGCTGTGCTGCGGCATCGTATGTCACTTCTGGATTATGATATTTGAAAAATTTGCTGAATATTATTACCAGTGATCTTGTTCGAGATTTTTATTTATGTAAGAAATGTTGCTTTCTCTTACTTCTATAATGCCGCGTTACGAAGCATATTTAGGGCAAGCAGATTTACGTGGGCCATTCGAAGGATCACGGGCTTTAGGAAAACTTCAGGTCGCACTGAAAATACACAGACAACACAAGGGAAAACAGAACAGGTGTTGGTGCACTTACCAGCGGGCTGTAGAATGCGGAGGAGTCCATGCCGATGGACGGGTAAGGGTTCTGCTCACTGGAGGTGTAGGTGGTGCCGTACACGGTGCCCGAAGCCCCGAGCCCCGAGCCGATTCTTGGGTAGGACCCGAGTGCCAGGCGGTCGTACTGGCACGAGCACACGGACTGACCACTCACCGGGTCCGTCATGATGGTTCGGCCGCCCTCGCAACATCCGGAACCTGCCGTCCCCCCGCCGCTCTGCCCCACCAGGAGCTGTCGGGAAAATAGCATCTCATTAGTCACGTCACGCCATGACAGGTATTACCAACACCAAAGCAAAAACTAAAGGCAGTAATCGCAAGAGACACAAAACCCAAAACTACAATTATATATGCTCTTGCCTCACGAGGAGATACATAAACCACAGCCTTTACAGCCGCTTTCACATTCGCTCTAAAATAAAATATCAGCTACTAAATCATGAGGCACAGTCTTCAGCATTCATTCCTGTGATATATCAGCAATATATCACATGAAAAAGTTACTTACACATGTATAATTAAGAGATCCAATATGTCTTGCAGATATTAGGAATTTATGGAACTATATTGTAAATATAATATATTGTACGGTCATATACTTCAAAACATTCCGAAAAAAATATGCCATAGGCTGAAAAGAATTCAAAAGCTGTCCAATGTCACACTTTAATTATCAAAGGAAATTTCTGTTGACAAGAAAATAAATAAATATAAAATTATATTTCGAAGAAAGCATGCCGGCATATCCGCCAGACACATAAAATTCTTGAAATTTCAGTCATAAATTGCCACCATTCCCTATTGTTGAGCGCCGGCGCGTTCGCAACCGCTACCAGGTTTTAGTGCGTCACAAATCATCACAATGCACGTTAAACACAGACTTGATTGGTAATTAAACAACTTAAACAGTCTAAGGCCAGAACAGTAAATAAAAAAATGCTACAAATTACACAAAACTTAGGTTCTTTCCTTCAAATCTAGCTTAAGATGCCACACCTTGTTGGGAACCGAAAGTTACTTAAAAATTTGCATACATTAGAGCCCGAAGCCTTCGCCGGGGAAGGAGTGCACGGGTGTCATTGCAGCCGCGGGTGAATTATGGTTTCTCGGGATCAGTCTCTCCCCGCCATAAAATATCCAAGATGGATTTGTCAAAATAAAAGGGTCGTGACAGAGGACAGATTGTGGCCGGCGTGAATTACACCATGGAAGCATGTGACCACGTTCTCTGCACTGATATTTAGCTCGCAAGGACACACGCGCTGAGGGAGGGCGAGTAAGGCACCCGACGACCGACCGACCGACCGCGCCGTCGCTCCGACAGACCCGAGGCCCGCGGAACCCAGCCGTTGCCGCCGCCCGAACTCCGGCCCCTCCTTCGCCACTCCTGATGGATTTGTGAAATGTATTTGCCGTCTTTATCACTTTGCTTTTCTGCCGTTCTCGTACGGGTGTATTTGTCTAGCATCTATATACTTTCAATCAGGTTATCGTCTCCATAAAGTTTCATTGTGCTATAGAGCTTCCATTTAAATCTATTGCCATTACTCATGTCTCTTTTATTTCACATGCACAGTCTATATAACCATAATATTCGTATTGACCCAAAGCATTCCTAAACTGCTTCCCGTGTCTGGCTTCCCTTCTCTATCATTCCCTTTTTCTACATTCATATCTACAACGTGATGACATACACAAAACACACACCAGATAAAACCTTAGATTGCTGTTAAAAAATAGTGTTCACATACAAACCCCTATTATTTCCGCGTCCAAATAAATAAATCACGACGCAGCCACACAGTCACCCGTTCTTTTAGGTGAACACTTCTTTCGCCCGTGAAAATTAACCCTTCTCTTCCCCTACAAACATGTCTATCGAAAATAAAGCTCGAACATTTGGGGCGATAACGATATCACTCACTACCCCCCCTCCCCTCGCCTCCCCACCCCCTTCGCCCAACGCCTAAGAAAAAAAAAATACAAACAAAAAAACGGATTTTAATTCATGCATTAGCGTTCATTTCCTTCATTTGGTCTCATTTTATACATGCAAACGGTCCGTGCTCCTGATACATTAGGTGAGGAGAATGACAAACGTCTTGTCGTAACGTTCTAATGGTCGAATTTCCTGACCATTACCATACCATGTGAGAGGAAGATTTGGCAAAGTCGGGCCAAGAATGTTAAGGTCGTTTTATTAATCATAGAGCCATTTTATTGCCCTCTTACACGTATATTTTATCGTGTGATTCGCTGCAACAGTACGTTATCAAGATAATTTTATGCGTTGAAAACATAAAGTTGTTTCTTATTCACAAAGCAGATATAGATTTATTTTCATTGTCATTAATATCATTCTCTTTTCCCTTTGCTTATGACTTTGACGGACGGCGATATACAAAGATGTTTGATAATTAGTTCCTTCTTTGGACATTGTTATTAGATTAAATAACTGTGCTAATTATCATAATTATGGCGATTAATCTCGCTGCCAGGTAGTGCTATAATGGCTGCGATTTTAGTGGACAAATATACACAGAAAATGTACAATAAATCCTGGCAACATGGTTTGGGACAGAAAGTGCTATGCCATAACAACACCATAAAACTCTTATCTGTAGAAAATTTTAACTATTATAAAACAAGGATGACTTTATGTTTTATTTTACAGTTTTATAGTCTTAGTGAGTTCGCGTCCTCTGTTTGTGGCGAGTATAGTGTATTTGTCCGTATATTCTCGTGTTTATGTCAGTGTCTGGCTATGGCTACGTCTGTATGTACTTGCGTGTTCGCATGCACACTCATGCGTGCGAGAAAACGGTCATGCGTGGGAGTAAGCGTGCATGACTGTATGCGTACCTGTGCGTCTATGTGTACGTGGGGGTGATTAATAATACGGTCAAAGGACGAGAAGCGTGTAGTGTTTGCACAATGTATGTAGTGATGATGCGGTACATTCTCATTACGGTCGGAGCCTCTCTGTCTGAGGACAACGCAGTCGCACCGAGTGTCGCAGAAGTCCGTGACTTTGAGGGCCGCCCGAACTAATTTCCTTTCCAAGCAAAATCCAATTTGCCTTTGAGAAAAAAACTGCATTAATTGCTCTGCCTCTGCGCATATTAGTCCCGGCCGTCTTGGCCATAAAAACAAAATAAAAAGCCTCTTGAGTATCAGACAATTTGCGCTTAAATCGCCTTGACTAGCATGCAATATTATTCCAAGATTGAAAGCGCCACCTTTGCAGAGTTGCGCATGAGGCCTAGTCGCAGCCGGGGGCGCTGGCCGGCGGAGCAAGGCGGCTGAGGGCGGAGCGGTCTAAACGGCTGGCGAGTCAGCCCAATAAACTAAGGGGCCGCAATAGAAGGAGACCGATACGAGAAACTTGCTTGTTTCAGCCGACTAACACCGTAGGAGCAAAATCATTTATCTGTGATCGGCTGAGTATATTAATGGGAGGGCAAAGTGAGGTTCGGGTTGGCGCCCCTTGCTGAGTACCGGAACTGCCACCTGGAGTGCTTATGGCCCCTGATTTCTTCGCCGCGAGGAAGGAAAAGGAAGCTACAGACTCAGAGCACAACAATTCGGCGTCAATAACCCGAAAGACAGCAACAAAAGAATATTTAGACCCGATTCGCCATAGTCCCAAAAGCAATCGAATCTTCTCGAAGTGGAATCAGAATCCCCAGCAGTCGAGCCGCGTCACTCAGCGCTTCAATCCTCTTATCACCCGCTGCATCCAGATAATGACACGTCGCAAGCTCGCCGCGGGATTTATATTCCGAGAGGCAGAACGCCGAGATGGATGCAAGATGGGCCATCGCAAGAGACGCACATATGGAGAAAAATATGAGGAACGTACACACAGACAGACACACGAAATGCACAACCAGAGAAGCATACAGAATCACACAAGAACCGTAGATCACACGGGGAACACGCAACTAATGCACACATAAGGAAAACACAAAAACGCATATATAAAAACCAGACAAAACGTACAAGTACAGTAAAACGCACAGAGATCGCACTAACAGAAAACCCAAAAGATATATATATATATAAAGACATATAGATACACAAACACACAAACACACAGCAAACGCATACACAGAAAAACACATGCACAAGAAATGATTATATGGAAAGTGCTGGCGATTATTTTTCCTAACAATACTCTTTCGATTGGCTATTCAACCAGCGCCGTCACTTATGGTAGATTTACGGGAACGGAAAATAATCTATCTCAGCTTCAACCCGTTCTCGTATGACCTCGTTATTAAAATGGCTGCCAGTTCTTTTCAAATAATGAATACTGTTGGTGAAATGGTTGAGGAAATAATCCTAATAAAAAAAAAACAAAGTTATCAATATTAACCAGGCACTTTAATTTCCTCTTTTGCATGATATAATATAAATCACACAGGAAACCCACAGCAAAATCAGTAAATGTCACTGCCATGTAAATTATATACGAATACATGGTCCATCTACTGTGTTAATATGCCTGATATCTTCAAACAGACTCCATTTTGAAGGAAAACCTAAAATCATATAAAACAAACAATTCACAGCCGTTTGTCATGACCTGGTGAGGTTTTGGCAAAATTATTTGGTCGTTCTGCGTGTGTGTGTGTGTGTGTGTGTGTGTGTGTGTGTGTGTGTGTGTGTGTGTGTGTGTGTGTGTGTGTGTGTGTGTGTGTGTGTGTGTGTGTGTGTGCGTGCGTGTGTGTGAGAGAGAGAGAGAGAGAGTGTGTGTGTGTGTGTGTGTGTGTGTGTGTGTGTGTGTGTGTGTGTGTGTGTGTGTGTGTGTGTGTGTGAGAGAGAGAGAGAGAGAGAGTGTGTGTGTGTGTGTGTGTGTGTGTGTGTGTGTGTGTGTGTGTGTGTGTGTGTGTGTGTGTGTGTGTGTGTGTGTGTGTGTGTGGGCGCGCGCGCGGAAAGATAAACATAGAGATAGATGTAGATATATATGAATAAATGGAAATAAAACCACAGCATGAACTGAAACTTACTACAACGTCTCGAAATCTTCAAGAGTTACTGTTCAAGCAAATACCTGAAATGGATCATTAAACCATTTCGGTCATTTGCTGCGTCTGATGAACTCGAACGTACGTTCATATTCAATTCAAATTGTGGCTGTGTTTCCTTTTATCTTTGTGTAGACATTATTGTGTGTTTCTTTATGTTCATAGATACACACACACACACACACACACACACACACACACA